GGCCGAGGGTCTGGGCTGAGCCCGCGCCGCTTTCTCAGCTCTCGGCTGGCGGCTCCTGCGCTGAAGGCTCACAGCCGCCTGTGCTTTGGGCGTGACTCTCAGCCCCGCCCCTCCCTTTCCCGAGAGCCCTCTGCCGCCCACGCAGTGCAGGCCGTGCGTGGGGTCCAGGCTTCCGTGCCTCTGTGCCCCCCACAGCCCCCACCGCACCGTGCAGGCCGGGCCGGCTCCCTGCCGGAACCACGCTCTGCTGGCGCGGCTGCTGTCTCGGGAATCAGCGCAACCACCCGCTCTCCCTACAGGCCGGCCTGCGCGTCTCACGCCCGGAGCTGACCCTGCCCCCGCGCGTCCCCGCCGCCCTTTGTGGCCGCGATGGCCGTCACCTACGATGACTCGGTGGGCGTGGAGGTGTCCAGCGACAGCTTCTGGGAGGTAAGGCTCGCCCGCGCCTGTGAGTGCGCCAGGGTGGCCAGGCCTGTGCGGCCCGGAAGGCTTTCGTTCTGGGGAGCAGGGGCAGGATCGCAGGCTGAGAAGCGTGTACCCCGACGCAGGCAGGTGGGGGGGGCGGCAGCCCGAGGAGCGCTCGCCTGGCGGGGAGGTGAGTTTCTTGGGGCAGGTTGTCCTGTCCATGCTGGGCCCCGGCCTGGCCAGAGGCTCCGTGACTTTCCCAGGGCGTGAAGTGACCTGTCAGCGCAGGCAAGCGGCCCAGGGCTAAGGGGCGGCTGGCAGCGGCCTCCCTCCGTCCACTGGTCGGGGACACACGCCCGCCCCTTTAAGTGGCATTGTGAGTTCTGAAACTTTTTCGGAAGTCGCTTTCCCTGCACCCCACTTATTTCTTCTGCCTGCTGCTGGCCCATTTTCAAACAAGCTTTGTTCTTGTAGCAAAAGCCTGCAGCTTGCTCGGCAGTTGCGGGCTTCGGGCACTGGCTTCGCAGGTGGGGAGCCCCGGCTCCCGCCTGGCCCCCCTTTGCTAGAGGGTGGCCCCCCCTGAGCTGCTTGCCTGCCCTGAGCCTCAGGGTCTCCGTCTGTAAAGGGGGTGGCCGGCCTCTGAGGCCTCTTCCAGAATCGGGCCGGCGACGGCCAGGGCCTGGCCCGAGGCCCCTGTCAGCGCCGGCCGGTGGGGCAGCCGCCAGCGACCGCCTGGGGTACCGTCCCGTAAAGACAGGCCATCACGGCCCGTCATGTTTTCTGTCCTCCGTTCCGGGAGAAAGGGCACTGGCCTCAGCTCGCCCCGTTTCATGAGGCGCTGGGGGCCGGCGGCTTGTGGCAGCCGGGGCCCCGCCCCGAGGCGCCGGCTTCCTGGCGAGCAGAGACACCGGCTGGCGCCAGCACGCGGGCTCCTGGGCCGCCGGCAGTCCTCTGGGGCGTCC